GATGCTGCCAGGGCCTGAGGTGCAGAGGTGCTGGCGTGAGCTAATCAAGAGAGCCTCAGTCTTGCTGACGTTGAGTTGGAGAAAGTTGGCCCTCGTTCAGGAGAAGAACACTGTGTTCTTTAAAACTAATTGTCTTTCAAAGCCTTTCTTGGAGCTAAGTACCTTGTTTTGTTCTATTTGCTGTGCAAAAAGATTAGTTTGTTCTTTTATTTTGGAACTGGAGAAAGACAGTTCTGACAACACACGAAATGTAGAGCATTTTCTGTAATTGCTTGGTTACAGTCTCTAAATTGCTAACAAAAGCTTTCAGGCAAAGCCAACTTCAGCAGAGTAACTCAAACATCCAAAGACAACTTGGAGTTTGAAATTGAGATCTGATGAAAGCTTCATATAGTAAAGAAGCTGCACGGGGTTAAGATAATGGTGACTTTCATTTTCATACACGACTGATTTGTTTTACTGCTGAGCTGGCATGGAATATCAAGATATTTGGTATTTTTTTAAAAAATGAAGTCATGTGCAGAGCAATGCAAAGGGGAAAATCACATTTAACCCTTAAGCAATGGTCAGTTATTTACATATAAAATACATGTAAAATGTCCTGTAGCTCTAACCACTCGCCTTGCAAGCGAGACACCTGGGTTCAATTCCAGGCAGGGCAAAACCTTGGTCAAGTTTCCTTACTTCACACACTTAATAATCCCTCCAAAATATAAAACAATAATAAATTGGTCATTTTCAATCCACGACTGTTTGTGGGACACTGCTGTGCGCAATTGGCTGCCGCGTTTAGCCCCAAAATATACAGTCAATTCACTTTACAGCATATTCTATGAAGCGCTTTGAAATGTCTAGAAGAGGTGAAAAGCACTATATCAAATGCAAGGATTATTATTATTATTTACATGTTTTATATTCAGAAACAGAGAAGTCAATTTATTTTTCAAAATTGTTTAAAAATTCTTGCTTTGTTCTCTCCCCTCTTTTCCTGAAGATGCCGCCTTGTACTGGGTTACAGTCCCTCAGTCACTAATCCTCTCAAGTATCTCAACGAAGCAACCATTCTTCACGTGCGAGTCTAAATAGTTAGCAGTTGTAGGTCATTCGGACTGAGGGGATGTGACAGCTGAGCCTTATCCAATCCTCACCTGGCGCCCACACACACACACAGTTTCCAGCAGGATGACATAATAACAATTTCAGTGTCCAGGTGAGATCAGATAAATCAACATGGACAGAAGCTGTGACCTACCAAGTAAGTATGACATTCAAAAGAGGAGATAAACATTTGAGGGAAGAAATAAATAAGTGGATTTATGGCAGCAATGTATTCTGGTGAGTCTAGCTGGAATGTTCACATAAGAAATTGTTATATTTAGCTATGTTCTCTCACCCATCAGTGTTGAGGTATGCAGGGTCTCCATGGAGCTGAACTAGCTCCTAAGTAACATGCCTGCCAATGGAATGTCGGAATCGAGCCAGCTCTCTGTGGCAGTCTTGTTAGTCCGATTCCTGAGCCAGGTGGGGCCGCAGTATTCCAGCGAACTGCTGATGACAGCTCAGCCAGCCTGCCTCATCGGCAGGATCTGAAAGGGAAGACCAGTCACTAGGGCAGGAAGTCATCCCACTCAGCTCCTGTTAATCCTACAAGCCAAAGCCCTAATGGGTCAGATGGTCCTAGGTGGACAAGCAGCTGGACAGCAATATCAATGGCAAGCTACGCTGTTTTAACTGGTTAGACTCCAGCAGTTCCCCCAACACACATACCAAGCCGTGGCTCTTGCCAACCTTTGCCTAATACTTTCTGGAATTAGGTAAACAGGATGCATCCCCCCAGGGAGAGAATGCGCATTCCATTCTACCAATCTATCTCAGGGATTTCCATGTATAGATGGGATGCATGGAAATCTCAGCTTGGTTTGGATACTCTTATGCATGGTGATGGGTTTCTGCATGTGACACCCGGCTGATCAAAAAAAAATCGGTGAGATTTCCAGTCTCCAACCTGTCGTTGAGGAGAATTTCCAGTCAATAAAGTGTTCCTCAATTATCTCAGGTAATAATTAGGAGCAGAATGGTTTTAAGAATACTATAATTTTGATTTCTGTATTCTTTCAGTTTCCAGGTTTGTTTTGTTTCAGGGTAATTAATCATTCTAATGGAGCCTGATGGAATATCTTTAAATTCCTAGTCAATGAGCTTAAATACTGAATGTTTCTGGCACTATATAGATTAATATTTCTGAGGATATTTTAAATGCATTTCACTTTCACTCTGCCCGCAGTTCTGGTCTCATTGGTATGCTGAGAGTTTGCAGCTCCCAGAGGGGGAACTTTTCAAAAATTCCTGACTTTATCTTGCAAGTCCAGGCAGCATCTCAAGCATCAAATATTTATAATACTTTGGATTTTCAAAACTTTTAAGGTTTGCTTCTGCATCACAACTAGTCAGAATATCTTGACAAGAGTGCTGATGTATGTTATCGTATTTACCAGTTATTGCTGATTGGAACAGGAGACAATAAGAGGCTCGCTGGCCTGCTTCAGTTCTGATTACCGTGTGACAAATTTGGGTTGCAGTCAAAGGAGTCATGTCTGGCAAGAGATTGGTGGAGTTCCGCTGGATTGTTATTAGGTACATCTCGGTATGGAGGAGATTTACTGGTTGCAAATCTAGCAAAATACCCCTTCTCCCTTTACTGAGTTGCTTTGGACAGTGCTATGATTTAATATTTCTTATGTGTTTACTGTTCAGGCGTAGCTCCAATGTGGGTTGAAGCATGTATGCATCATGCAGTACAGTCAGCTAATATCCATATTGTAGTGTCTGAGAAGATTTATATTGTGTTGTTTTACTTCAGTGAACCAAACTCATAGCGACAAAGTTATATTGAAACTGACATTGAATGCTATGAGTTTTCAGGTTCACCATTCGTGGTGGAAAAGTGATTGAATGCACAATAAAATCTTTAGTGCTGTCAAAGGTAAATAGGTTCAAACTAAGTACATATCATATAGGTAAAATCAATTACATGAAAGGACATAAAATTCTGGATTCAAAGATAACCAATGAACCAATGTTGCTCAAAGTCACAGTTCATGAGCCAGGCAGGTCCACGGTACTCATGACGACACAAGAGATTGTTCTCTTTTGGCTCTTATTAACCTTGCAGTCCAAAGCCTAAATGGGTAGGATGTCCTACCTGGTCAAGTAGCAGGAAGCTTGCCAGACAGTTCTCACAAAGGCAGGCTATTCGTTTTCATCTTATTAAACTGCAGCAGTATCCCAAACACAGAATCTGGGGTCCCTAAGCCTTGGCTCTTACGAATCTACGCATAATACTTTTCAGAATTAGGTAAGCAAGGAGCATTCTGCAGGGTTGTGCATTCCATTTCCAGATGTAGGAAAATTTCACCACCTAAGTTTACACTACAATAAATAATAATATTCCTTGAATTTGATATCATGTCTTCCAGACGTCTCAAAGTGCTTCACAGAATATACTGTAAAGTTAATTGACTGCATATTTTGCAAGCAAAACGTTAAGCATTTGGGAAATAAGGTGTTGAGTGTATACTTGCTGACTTTTGTAAATTAATACAATATTTGGGGTTTCTCAATGCTAGTCCACACTTAACTATAAAAGATGGTTCATATTTTCTGTCAGGTATGATGATGTGTTCCTGTAATGATTCTGTGTATTTTTTTACAGTGACTGTCTAAAACAGTGTTGTGTTAAATATTAAAATTTTGGTTTCTACAATGTCAGAGGTGACCTACATGAGATGTTAACCAAGGTCTCATTTGCCTGTTTAGGCGGACATTAAAGATCACATGGCACTATTCAAAAAGAGAAAGAAGTTTCTCCTACTGTCCCGCTCAACACTCCCGCAAATAAAATTGGTCATTCACTTCATGGTTGGTTGGGGGACATTGCTGTGGGCAAATTGGCTGCAGAATTCACTCACACAGTAAATCATGTGAAGTGTTTAAAGGCATCCTGACGTGAAAGGTGCTATATCAACTACAATAATTATTATTTGTATGATTATCATCAGATGAGATGGAGTAAATCAGAATGGCTATTAAGCATTCAGAAAGAGTCAAACAAAATAATTCCAAATACTTTGAAGAGCAAACTTTGACTTATTGCGAAGGATGAACAAGATTGTCAGTTTTACAATTTGGAGATTTAACAAAAGGCTGCTTGTTAAATATCCAAATTGTACAACTGTCAATCTTGTTAAATATCCAAATTATAGTTATTTAGAAAACAAAATACAAATAATCATTACAGGAAAAAACCATCAGAGCTGACAGAAATATGAAGTATCTTTTATTATCAGTTAAGTGAGGGCTGGCATTGAGATATCCCAAATATTGTATTCATTTCCAAAAGTATATACTCGGAAACATCTTATTTTGAACAAAATATATTCTTTTCTCCCACCCGGTGGAGGCTGAAATTCAAGTAGGGTATCATTTGGCATCAATAGTTCCCGGCATTTAGGGTAACCCATGCACCAGATCGATCTTTACACCTTTTTATGATTTTGTTGGCAGAATCATCAGATTTATGAGAATTTACTGCACTGGCCATTTGGCCCATCATGTTAATGCCACTTCCTTGATTCTTGCTACTTCTTTGCCCTTACCAACATCTCTTAATATTTCTCTTTTTTCAAATTGTTGTGCTCCCCTCTCCTTCCTGATCCTCATCCAGTACCAACTCCCCTACTTATCACATGGAAATATCTCACAATGAGAAATAAAATGACCATTATGTAGGATAATCTGTGCTCGCATTGTCCCAGAAACAGCATGAAATAAATTAGATTAAATTTGTGGTGAATTTTATGAGGAAATATTGGCTTGGACACCACTCCGTTCTGTGTATTACAACAAACAAGAGACCAATGTGGGGACAAATAACATTATACTATACATGTATATATACAATCATCAAGTCAGAATTTAATAAATTGATGAATTTCAATGCATCTTTGTCTCATTATTTATTAAAGGATGGATTGTGCAAAAAAACCCCAAAGGAAATACAGTATGCAGCAAAATTAAATAGGAATGTGAAATAACCATTCTGTGACTATATATAGCCATTTAATTAATATACAGACATTTAAAATAATCTCTGCAGGTCCTCAGGCAGCAGATGGCATACATTAGTTGTAGTTTCCCAGGTGAACCTTTGCTTTCTCATACATTGCTTCTCTGTCATGTTCAGGTAGCTCATGCAGTAGCTGCCTGGAGTAACACCTACTGAGAGTTGTGTGGCTCACAATAGCAAGCTTTGCTGCATAAGCTGGTTAAACTCCAGCAGTAGCACAAAGCACTCTGCGGTCCCCAAGCCTTGGCTTCTGTGCCGAATACCTCTCCAGAATAAGGTAAGCAAGAGCGTCCCTCTAAAGAGAGAATGCATATTCCATATGTAGGAATTTCCTTGGGTAGGTGGCATGTGGAAATCACAATCTGGTTTGGATACTATTAAGCATGGTGATGGCTTTCTGCTTGTGTCAAAACACTGGCTGACTAAAAATAACAAGCCCTCTTTGCTCCTGGGCCGGCTTCTCATCTCTGTGATATACCATGACCATTCTCTCAGCGGTTGAATATTTACTGTTACTTGTGCATTTACAGCTATGCAATTCTCCCGAGCCCTTCCAAGTGTCCTTTAACTGAGACAAGGTAAACTGACCTTTTTATAAACTCAAGAATTTCTGGCTCACAATAGAGAACCTTAAATAGCCTAAGTTTTTCTTAAATCCAGACAATTCTGAACACAATTTTATTTCTGTTTAAACACTGTATGGTATTGTGTACTTGATACTTACATTATGGGTAGGCAAATGTTGAAAATTCATCTTTCATTTCTACCTTTAAATATGCATTGGCAGCTCAATTAAATAACAGACCATTTACATTACAATTACTTTCTTTGAAAATTCAGTTCATCAATTAATTGCAAACCATTAAAGATGATCTCAAAACTCGATTGTATTCTGAAAGGAATCAGTTCTGCTGTGACATTAATTGTGAATTACTGTATTACTTAAATATGGGAATTACTGCATTACTTAAATATGGGAACACTGAGTATTGTAAGCAATCCAAGAAAGTTGCCCAAATCACAAAGACTTATGAAATTGTTTGCTTCATAAAAGATGACCGACTATATGATGCAAATACATGGCTGCCAGGACAGGTGGAAGAATAAAGAACAAAGATTTTCTTTAGCATGGAAGATAAAATTTGTCCTTAGTTTGCAGCTGGTGTTTTTAACAACACATTGAACAGACTGGCAAAAATTACCAAAAGATGTTAAGAACAAGAGATTTTGGGGTTAAATCGGAAGAGTGGAGTAGCTAACCACAACCAATCTCGAAGAAAGAGGCATATACTACAATCAACATGGATAGATGCATGTTAACAAGTCAATTCCTCTATCAAAGTTACTGTATTGGTCTGAGCAACTCATTGTAGTGAACTGTACCAACTTGCTGTAAGCATTAATTTGATTATATGAAACCTATAACCTTGATATGTATAACCTTACTAATCTTTATTAAAATGTACTAATTGAAGCAAATTAAGTTTGTGTCAGTTTACACTTCACTGCAGGTCATAAATTGAAGGAACCTACAGTATGTCTGTTCTTTCTAGACTCATATTACACAGTTATTAATCTGTACAAAAGTGAACACTATTGGAATACTCATAATGACTACAATTTTTTCCTGTGTACAGTGCTATGTAGGTTTGTGTTGTATTTCTTCCAGACTCATTCAGTCACAAAGAAAGTGTACATAAACTGTGTTACAAAGGAATATTCTTACCATTTAATACATATAAGTGTTTTCCTGAATCCACATTCACAGTTGTGTCGGACAACTAAATGCAAAGGATGATTCATGGTTTGGAATTTATGCACATCTTAATGTGCCCAAAGAAGAGAATGTTGATCACTTTCATTAGTGCAGATGTTGCATTAATTACATTTTATTTTAAAAATTACCTTTTTCGCAACATTTTAATTTCAACCTAGCTAAAAGTGGCGGCTACAATGAAGATCCAGCCGTTCATGTATTTTTGTATTATGGAATCTGAACTACGATTGAAAGATTTATAACCATAATTCCAAAGTCATAAATATAATCCAATATAAACATACATTATATAGAATCTACTGATTTTTGTTTTCAGAGAATTTCCATTATTAGATGAAACTTTTTTGGCAACAAAGTCCCAATGTTTACGTAATTAGTCCCACAGGACCCTATCTGAAGTCAACTACTGTGTTGAGGTAATGAAACAATAAAGAAAACTTTAAAAAAGCTATTTCAAACAATTAAATATGAACTCTTATAAAACACAGGCACTCTTAACAGCTTATAATAGGTCTTGGGGCTTGAACCTTAAAAGCAGCTAAATTAAACTAGGCTTAGTACACGTGTACATTTGGTGTATATCAAATATATCCACATTGCATGCCTAATTTTGTGTGATAGACTTTTGCCCCGTTGATGCAAATGTTACAAACCATTTCACTATAACAAAAACATACTGCAGCAAATGTGAAATGAATCCTATAGCGATAAATGCTGAAGTAACAATTAAGTGCACGTAAAAACAGCAGCTTATCATGAGGATTGATGGGCATGAATTCACACTCAGTAGCTGAATTATGTTTTTAATACTTATTTTATACTGGAGCTCATATTTATAGTAATGAGGTTTAAAGTTACTGTAAGGCGTGGACTGGCTTTAACTGTCTGAAACTTATCCAATTTGTAAGGCTTTTGAGATCTGTGGGTAATGATCGGCAACAACAAATTACATTTGTATAGTGCCTTTCATGTCGGGAGGACGTTCCAAAGCGATCATATCAGAATATGGATTTTCTGCTACCTTTGAACACTGATTAATTTTCTTTCATTACATCTGTATGAAAAAGAAGATGTTACTTCAAAAACAGTTGAGTCAATTTGTTCACCACATAATGAGAGTTGCAAATGTGAATATTTTAAAACTTTACAAAAGAGGTTATAGCTTTATATCCTGCTGGTCACTGATCAACAAAAATCCTGTGAGTCCTTCACTCTTTTAATTCAGTTTCCTTTCACAATGTACGATCCTTCATCGGATTTGTTTAAATAAGGCTTCCAGGCCACGATACAACAGTTAGAGTTACTTTGTTTCGTTGTTCTTTCAGCATTGGAACAAGTGCAGAATGGCTCATGCCTCCAGTTGACAGCCCATTTACTGCTACAATCATGTCACCACATCTGTGAAGAAAACAAAAGGGTGATCTTAGATTGGTCAGTCTTTATTTTTACTACTTCTAATCACAAACATTAAGAATGGCAGAACAACGTTGTTTCAAGAATATTCCTAACACCTAGTTATAAAATTGTTTTACTACAATTGTATTGTGTTATTGACCATCCTAAATAAATGCCCATGTCCAGAACAGTGACAATGGTTTATGAAATTGTAAGTATTGTAAGAAATTCTAAAAAGAACAAAAAGCAAATTATGTTTCCTCCTGAAAAATGCTTAGCGCTGAAGTATGATGCAAAAGCCCTAGAAGGATTAATCTAAAAAAGAAACAACTAATTATACTAATGGATTTTAAATATTATAATAAATGAAACATGTTGACTTTTTTGTATGTGTAAGAAAAGGAAAAAAGGATGGATGCTTTTGAGTTATTTTTAGTATAAGTTAACAGTAAACGTTCAGTTGTATTTGGAGAATGCAGAAATTTAATCTACCAGATGCAAATACCCTTGGAAAATTTTTGTGGAGTATTACGTTTAAAATGATTCCTGAAACATTTACAGCACACTATTCTTCAACTTCAACAATTTTAAAAGTAGTTAGAAATCATAAGCTGAATTTAACTTGTTCTCAGAAGAAAGCAAATATTTGAAACAACACAATCTAATTTTCAGTTTCCATATTTAGCATGAGCAAAAATGGAGCTAGTGATTCATGGCACATTGTAGCAATAAATGGGCTGTCAACTGCAGGCATGAGCCATGGCACAATTTCACTTTCCAAAGACTTCACTCTCTAAAGGCTACCTGGCAGTTCCTTTGAAATTCTAGTGTGGGCAATATAAACAACCACTTACTTCAGTCTTCCATCATAATAAGCAGGTGTCCCAATTACAATTGTTTTGATAAAAAAGGGCTGATTATTGTGATGTTCTTCAAAACCACCAACAATGCTAAATCCCCAACTTCCTGAGTTACTCCTCCGTAGGACAATATCATGGCAGCTACGAAGGTAGCTAAAAAGAAATGAAACGTTCCAAGGTGTTGTTATAATATTTGTTGAACTGCTTTTAAATATTAAATCAAAAGAGTGATATATGCTATACTGAATTTGCTTACCATATACTCTGAGCATAGAAAGAGGAAAAATATTTAAGACAATGGTTATGAAGAAACCTGACCATTTTCCTGGCGTTTAGCTCATGGATCTGTGTGTATCTATATATACAATCTTGTTCACATAATAGTGTTTTTGCCAAATGTTTTTGCTCAATATTGAGAAGAACAAATAGTCCTTGCCAGGAGTGCCTTTTGCACAGTAGGAGTGGCAGAGGCCATACAGGTAATGTATGGGCATCATGAGGCTAAAATGTCTTAAATAGTCAGTGTCTCTCATTATACCCTGTGGTAGAGTGATAGCCCGGTATACTTTTTAGGTGTGTAGAGGTTACTGAAGATGGAATAGAATGAAACTACAGAATATTTCAGATTTGAAGAAAGAATTGGTGCAGCATTTCCGAGTTAATAGCAAACACAATAAAAAAAAGGTGTATAGTTCACTCACCTGGGTAATCCCAGCCACATGACCCATGAAGGTGACCAACTGGCATCACATTCGTTCTCACTGGTTGTGCTCAGGTGTTCATCGGCAGCTTGGCCCTGCTCTTCTATCGTCTGTACTTCCAGTGCCTTCAGTACAACAACTGGGGAGGCAGCACTGGCTTTCAGGGTAGCCACTGCCTCAGTGTGACTCAGACATGTCAGGTCAATACTGTTGATACTCAGAAGAACATCTCCTGATTTTTTAAAGAAAACCAAACTTTCTTTCAACTTTATATCTTTTTCAGCTATTAATTTTACAAATGTAAGACAAGCTTTCAAAGTGAAAACCACATCCTCCCACAAAATACAGTCTATCCACTTTACAGTATATTCTGTGAAGTGCTTTGAGATGTCAACAGCGCTATATCAAATGCAAGAATTATTGTTATTATTATAAGAAATTTTGTATCCTGATACCAGATTGGATGTGGATTATACAGGCATGAAAAATAGGGAGATCAAACAGCCAGAGAATAACTAGGGTACAATTAATATCTCTAGCATAGAATTTGCTCTCACTGCACAGTTCATGTTCAGTGTGGTTTTTTTAAAAAAAACTCGGGAAACCTTCTGGTTGGTTCATGCACTGTGATAGTGAACAAACGTACAATAATAAACCTATTCTAACATTACAATAGCTTTATTAATGATATTTATCCCAATTTATCCAAATACATTTAAAAGAGCTTAAAATAAAAATATACTATCTCTTGATTTGCTTTTTAAAAAAAAACTTTCTCTATATTGCTAAAGTTATTTTCGTCTAACCAATCTAACTTTTATATTTAATATTTTAAATCATTCACTTATCTTTTCTCCATCCCCCAGAGCCTTCGCCTTGCTTCCTCCCCCTTTCCTCCTTCAAGGCCGGTCTCAAGACCTTTCTCTTTGACCGTGCCTTCAGCTCCCCTCTCGACTCTCTACACCCTCCTCGCTCCCTCCCTTCCCTCCCCCTGACCATTTGCTCCCTGCTCGGGTCCTGTCCAGCGCCTTGGGACGTCCTCCCGACGTGAAAGGCACTCTATAAATGAAATCATGTTGTTGTTGTTGTTTTCTCTGTCTTTCTGTTCCTAACATCCACTTCAGAAGTGGAGCTCCCATTTTTATTTTTTAATTAATTGAAAGAGGTAGTTGATGAAAATGGCTGATTTAGGTATGATCAAAATGGCTGATTTTTAGTTGGCCTTTGAAGATGGTCAGAGGTGATGTGGACAGGTTGAGAGAGAGAGTTCCAGGGGGCTATAGAATGCACTTCAATTTGAGCTTTTTTTAAAAAAAATCCTTCTGTGACACATTTGGACTTTCTAGAGTTAGTCTTGCTCCAACTGCAGTTATAATCATCCTTACACTTGGGAGGACATTTTAAAGCGCTTCACAGGATTTACTGTAACGTGCTATTACTGTGTGTTTTGTGGGCGATCATTAGGTTTACTGTATACAAAATGAGAACTTAGGCTCCCATAAATTAAGCTTTCCAGATCTATATAGTTACCAAAAAAATCCTTACTTTTGATACAGCGCCTTTACAGGATTAATGTAGAGTGCAGTGACTATGTATTTTGTAGGCAAACACGGTAGTCAATTTGTATACACCAATGTTTCACATTCAGTCATGAATTGATTGACCAATTTTATTTGGGGGACTGTTGACCCGGACAACAACCCTTCTCCTTTCGAATAGTCCACCTGAACAGGTACACGGGGCCTTGGTTTTCTGTCTCATCCAAAGGACAGCACCTCCAACAACGCAACATACTACTCTGAGTGTCAGCCTAGATGATACAAGTTCAAGTTCAAAGTCTAGACAAGGGGCTTTTTACACATCATCCATTTTTCAATTTAGTCATTAATCTCTTTTCCATTTGTCTTGTTTGGAGTCCTGTAGCTCAGTGGTTAAAGCACTCGCCTTGCAAGCAAGACACCTAGGTTCAATTCCAGGCAGGGAGAAACCTTAGGCACGTTTCCTTATTCCACACGCCTAATACCTCCAAAAACAAAAACAATAATAAATTGGTCATTTTCAATCCTGTTTGTAGGAAACTGCTGTGCGCAATTGGCCTCTGCGTTTCACCCACAAAATATACAGTCAATTCACTTTACAGCATATTCTGTGAAGAGCTTTGAGACGTCTAGAAGAAATGAAAAGTGCTTTATCAATGCAAGGATTATTATTATTATAAATGAGATTGAAGGCAACGACTGCTTCCAATTAAAAAAAGATTTTTCTCCGAGATATCTAGCCTTGTATTCCTTCCTTAGAAAATTTAATTAATCGTCTACTCATTTATTTGTTGTTTGTAGGATGTTGAAGGGTGTAAATTAGTTGCCAGATTTGCCCATTGAATTTATTTCTAATTAATTTAATTCTGTGAAGGACTTTGAGTCATTTATTTTATGCGATATATTTTATGTATATATTGTATAAAGTAATTATATTCGGCGACTGATCAACAAAGCTGCTTTGAGACACTGGCCTTACCACGTTTGATCCTTCCATCTCTACCGAGGCATCCGTGTGGCTGCACACTGGTGACAAAGATGGGCAGTTCACCACTTTTGCTACCTTGGCCTCCTGCTACAGTCATTCCTAGAGATTCGTGAGGCTCCTTCTTTACAGTGATCTGTTTTTCTTGGCAAGTGACACACTGAGAAAAGTCCTGAGGAAATCATGAAAAACACATCTGTTCTGGTGCAATCTATATATATCTAAGTGACAATAGATCATGCCAAATTAACATGTTCAAAGTTACATACAATAAGGTTTAAAACCTTTAATTTCTCCCAACATGACACACAATTCCTGTTCAACAGAGGCTTCGGAGTGCTCACACTATCAATAATACTTGATGATGAGTTACGAGGGAACAGCATGGGTTGATTTATATTCAGATTTTCCCTCCATGTGGTTACTGACTGCCCTCCGCTTGGCAAATTTTCCTTAATAAGATTGATAATAAGGTGTGCAAAGAATGGCAGATCTCAACTAGAATCCCATTATCTTTACTGACCTTAAGAGGTGGAGAATTATTTAAAGCAAGGATTAGATACCAAAGATTGCATAAATAGTCTTAATTAAGAATTCACAGGCACTGGTATGAAATTCTACTTATTTTACAGACTCTCACAGGTTCACAAGTCTATTTGAAATAATTGAAAATATCACAATAGGAATTGTAAAATTATTGCAACTAAAGAGTACTTCCACCACCACATTATTACACCTGTGAAATAAAAAAATATATCAAACAGTAAATGTATGAGCATAATAAGGTAGAAGAAAATTTGGCAAATGCATCATACATTAAGTAGCTATAGTAGAGAGAAAACAGCCTCACATACAGTAATACAGATTTTTTTAAACTTTAAATATAGGTATTAGAATCCAAAACATTGTTATTATGGAAATCAGTTACGAGACATCAGAGTTGTCAAATTTCCCATGGTTTTAGCCTTGAGACTATTATCTTAAAATTTAATATGTAGAGATTTTTGAAATATATCAACCTTAATTTGGAAGCCAGTTTCTGAGGTATCTTTTAACTGTGGAAAATTCGCTTCCAAACTAAGCCTGAATTTATGATTTTTTTCAAATCTGCACTGAATCCATTATCCATTATATAAAGATTCTGAATTTTAGAAAATGCCACTTTAATTTGGAAGCTAATTTGCAAGTTATTTTTTTAAATTTCAGAAAAAAATGATTTCCAAATTAAGACTGAAGTTAAGAATTTGCCAAAATTCTGCACAATTGTAGATTCTCAGACTTAATCGTCTTAAGGCTAAGATCACAAGCAATCTCAGATTTGACTTCCAATTTCTACGTGGAGAATATTCTGCTGAGCATTTACTCACCTTATGAACACCAACTCTTGTATGATACTGGGTCTGTGTATGTTGTTGCAGGGATAGATGTTGATAGTTTGTATGAGGCCCCAATTCTCGAATAATATTTGACAGTTGCTGTTTTCCTGTCCTGGAGATTATTAAATGAACCCTCTCTCCACTAGCCTAAACAGCATAGAAACATATCCTTCAATTATGAGCAATGTTGGTATTCTAATAATAAACTCAAATATTTAAAAGTAAAATAAACGTCAAAGAGCAATAATGTTAACAAAACACTTGCATATGAAATTTAACTATATTTAAGAAAAGCTCTCAACTACAACAACAATAACAACAACAAAATTGCATTTATAGAGTGCCTTTCATGTCGGGAGGACGTCCCAAGGCGCTGGACAGTAGGGTCGGGACCCGAGCAAGGGGGAAATGGTCAGGGGGAGGGAAGGGAGGGAGCGAGGAGGAGGTAGAGAGTCAAGAGGGGAGTGAAGGCACAGTTGAAGAGAAAGCTCTTGAGACCGGCCTTGAAGGAGGAAAGGGAGGAAGCAAGGCGAAGGCACTGGGGGATGGAGTTCCAGAGCCTAGGGACTGAGAGGCTGAAGGCCCGGCCACCAATGGTAGGGGGGTTAGGGCGGGGGATGTGGAGCAGACCGGAACCAGAGGAACGGAGGGTACGGGCAGGTAAGTAGGGGGACAGTAGGTCGGAGAGGTAGGAGGGAGCAAGGCCATGAATGGCCTTGTAGGTGATGAGGATCTTGAATTCGATCCTCTGGGGGATGGTGAGCCAGTTGTGGCGAGTGAGGGTGGGAGTGATGTGGTCATTACTACATTTGTAATTACAATTATTTTAAACATTATGTTGTAATGTACTTCCTTTATATAAAGGTATAGTCAAAACAACTTACACTTTTATAATGCCTTTCATGTAGGGTTCACAACAACAATGAGGTATCACCAAGCAAATAGAGGAGGGAGAGTTTGAGGTATTGCCCGAAGGTAAACACGTTAAGAGACAGGCAGAGAGAAGGCACAAAATGGAAACAGTTTTGGAGTTCCATAGAGTGGGAGCAAAGTTGTTGAAGTCTTGGCCACTGCTTGTAGAACTGAGGGAGTGAGGAACAAGCAGCTGACCAGAGTTGGAAGAGAAAGCAATAAGAGAGTGGGTAGCTTCCCCACCTTTGCCTCTAACTATCAACTTGTAGCCAATGCACAACCTCAACATTTCAGCCTTTCAGCTGGTCCTTGACTCAGTCCAGTTTTCTCCAATCCTGAAACATTACCCAGCTTTATCCCTACCTCATCCTTCACACAGCTAAAGCAGTTATTCATTCCCTTGATTTCTCCAATGTCTACCTCTCCAGTTTTCCTAACTCAATCCCCCATAAGCTTCAGATCATCCAGAACTCTACTGCCTATATCCTTTCCCATACAAGGCTCTGCAAGCCCATCATCCTCATTCTCACTCTCCATCAAAATCCTTATTCTAACTTTAAAAAAATTTCACATCCCCGCCTCGCACCGCCTCCATGATCTTATGCAGTCTTACCCCATTGCCTAGTTCCTCCACTCAGTAATGATGACTTGCCCTATTTCCTTTGTCGCATATGCCCTAGTATCAGGGAGGGGGTTGGGGAGCTTTCAACTACTTTATCTCGCTCGTTGGAACGCTCTCTGCCTCACACCTTTCCGTTCCATTTTCAAAACCCTACCTCCGATTGTGTCTTTGGTATCCTGCATCCTACCTCCTCTATCTCTCACCCTATTTGAGATACCACTCCATCTCTGTGAAACCCTTTAAGATGTTTTCCTATGTGAAAGGCATTACGTAAGTGCAAGATGTTGTTGCCTGGAGAATACAAACATTTTCATTTAAGCCAGCATAACTGATGCATCAAAATGTACCTGGATGACTTGAGCCGCGAGCTCTGGTGTTCCATGCTTCAGGTCATGTCCATTTATTGCAAGCACCCGGTCATTGCTGCATAGCCTACCATCCTGAGCAGCCAAGCCTCCTTCTAAAAGGTCGAGAATGAAGACTCCTGTCTCATCAGTTCTACGAACTAATTTAATGCCAAGCTGCTCACTTGTGTCCCTTTTTAGTAGAGTCACATGAAAGCCATCTTCTCGTGTAGAACTACCATCGTGGATATGTGTTCGGCCCCCAAATCGCCTCTCCCTTAGTACTGTGAGATGCATGACAGAGCATGGCTGTGAAAGTACAGACCTAGCATAATTGTGAGGCACATTGCTGATGTCAATTCCATTCACCTGAAATAAAATGGAGAAAAATACAGCACTAATTGAAAATCACAAGGCATAAAACTAAATACGACAATCAAACAAATGCATATATATCATCAGAGATCCAAATTCTCACACAATCATAGCCAAAGACCATTGTCCTAAAATGTAAGATGACTTGAGCAGCATCTAGGTCTTGACCTTAAAGTGCTCTTTGCCACTCTGAAGCTGTGTCTTCTTGTTCTGTTGACTTGGCATATCTGAAACTATTGTTCTAGTCTACTTTCTCAATCTCATTTAATAAATCTATATACCTTTAAGGACCCTTCTGAGATTACTGTTCCAAGTCTGAAGAGCCATATATTATCAAATTGTTGCTCATAGCTCATTTCTCCAAACTGGAGATCATCCTTGTTGCTCTCCTTCACGGTCTCCAGGACCCATTTCACAATACCCAGAATGCATGAAGAACTTGGGTCATGACCCAACTGTGCAGCGCCTTGGGACGTCCTCCTGACGTGAAAGGCGCTTTATAAATGGAATCTTGTTGTTGTTGTTGTTGAAGTGTGATTTGAGGACTGTATAGCCTGAGCACGATTTCCAAGGATCTGAACTCCACTCATTTGGCAATATAATCTTGAATATACCTTAATAATAATAATAAATATAATCTGTGCTTTGATATGGTGCTTTATGATGTTGAAACTTCTCAGAACATTTCACAGAGCCAAATTGCTCATAGCACTGCCCTACAAACAGCAATGAAGTGAATGACCAAGTTGCTTTACCTTAGGAACTATCAGCCAATTCATCAAGATAAAATCCCTTCCTTTTGAATAGTGCCACGAGATCTTTAACATCCCCTTTGACAGGCAGACAGGACTACAGGTCTTATTTTACAAGCCTTTCTACTAGATTTAAATAATTCCATTGCTATTCTTTGCAATATCAACAATGCACTCTCTCTGGTTTAATTTACACTGTTTTTCTAACATTGCCCATTAACAGCTATTGTTTGCTAACATTAATTTGCAGATTAGTAAAAATTGATTCCTCACATGCCATTACTTTTCAGTTAAATACTCATGGGTAGGTAATATCTTAAGATTGATCGAGGAAAATTCTAGTAATCGCACAACAAACTTACAATGGTTGGGATCCTACGAATCTGTCAAATAAGTTACTGCTTAATTTACTTCCTATTTTCATTAAAAAAGAAAAAAAACTGCTCAAAAAAAAATTAAATATTCATCAACGAAGGTAGTTTAATTTGTTTCTAGAAAGCTTGATGTGGTAGTTACCATGGTAATTGTCTTCAGCAAGAGGGTATGAAATACACATGTCGAAATAACACGCAATGGAATCTTATGAGCTACTTAGCAATTTTTTCTGTTGCTCATTTTGTGCTGTCATTGCAACCATTACACTTTCAGTGACAATTTTTTAAATCTGCCAAAATTAGTCGCAGCTCATTTCATTACAGGCAGCCGTAACTTATCCCACCAGCCTTCAAACTGATACCTTTGATGATCTACCTTTAAAACAGTTAGATGAAAATTAAGAAAGGAATTTCTGTAACATTCAAACTAGCAAATTAGATATTCTGTCAATGAGTTGACTAAATGTTACTTTATCATTTGGAGATTCAAGTCACTGTACATGAATTACTTCACTGCTTTGCCTCAATAATTAATTATAAAGAAAGTGGTTTTTTTTTGGGGGGGTGGGTAAAGTTTTTAAATCACTGAACATTAGTTACTTCATTACAAAGACAATTGCAAAGGCAGGTAGATCTGCAATATCCATTCACAATCTTAAGATTCGCAGAAGTTGAATGATCATATAAAGGACCCAAATTTTCAATTCTCTCAGGTCTTGACGTCCATATCCTGAACTATAGTTCTTGTATCTATCTGTTCAATACACTCTTTTCTAACAACTAACTGTATTGGTGTATTTCAAAAGGGAAGTCATGCTTAACTAATCACTATTTTAGAGATGCATCCTCAGTTTAGAATCATTTTGCTCAGGTCTCAGTTGGTGTTCCAGCCTTCGGATGAGACATTAATCCGAGATTCTATTTGACTGTTCAGGTGGACGATTTCACCCACAAACTACAGTCAATCCACTTTCCAGTACATCCTGTGAAGCGCTTTGAGATGACTCGATGACATGATAAGCCATTTTATCGAATGCAAGTTTTATTATTATTGTACCTTTACAAAAAAATCTGCAATATCTATTAGGGTTTCCTTCATAATTCAAAACACTGCAAAATATTCCTCTTGGTTTCTCTCTCCTCCTCTTGAAAAAGATTTAATTTTCATCGGCTTTTCTTCATAACGCATAGAATTAACTATTAAGCTGGTAGCAGATTGAAGAATTTTTTTGTATCCTTGGGTCAACTGACTTGAGTATACATTTGTGAGTATACGTTTGTCTTATAAATTGGGAGACTGAAAATAGCATTAAGACCAGGCAGTAATAAAGCTTGAGGAATACCTTTATTATTGTAATATTAACCCTAGTCTACAAATATAAATACTACGTTAAAAAATACAAATATGCATTTTGGGGTATGGAAATGTATAAATAAATGTCAGATAATTAGCTTACAAAACAAAGATAATTGTTTTCAGCCAATCAAACAACAACGATCTCAAGACTAACATGGTTATGTCCTAAACATGGCCAGGTTGATCTTTCAGGTACTTCAAGCAACAAGGAGCTGTCAACCAAACAGTTAGTGTGCATATAAAGAGGTTAGATCTTTGTGCCAGAGGACTTACTGGATAGACTCTCTCCTAAGCTCTTCTCTTTCTGTAAGCTAAAACAGCTAAGATGAGTAGTAAACCCGAGGATTGGGAGAACTTTAGGGATCAACAAAGGAGAACCAAAAAAGTGATTAAGAGGGAGAAAATTGAATAAGAGGGGAAATTAGCGAAGAACATAAAGACAGACTGCAAGAGCTTTTATAAATATAACGAGGAAGAGGCTGTCAAAGGTAAATGTGGGTCCGCCACAGGCAGAGACGGGGTGAATTATAGTAGGGGACAAAGACATGGCAAGTACTTTGCTACGGTCTTCACTTTAGAAGACACTGAAAACATACCAAGAATAGAGGGGAACCAAGAAGACAAGACGACAATGTTAGCGAGCAACTTGGGGGAATTAATATTAGTAAAGAAATGGTTTTAGATAAATTGTCAGGTCTTAAAATTGATAAACCTCCTGGACCTGATGGCCTACATTCCTGGAAGATCATAACAAGATTAGGCAGAGTCAGCATGGTTTTACAAAAGGGAAGTCATGCTTAACTAATCTTTTAGAGTTTTTTGAAGATGTAGCTAGCAGGTTAGATGGGGGGAACCGGTAGATGTAGTATATTTAGATTTTAAAAAGGCATTTGACAAAGTGCCACACAAAAGGCTATTTTACAAGGTTAAGGCCCACGGGATTTATGGGAACATATTAGCATGGATTGAAGAGTGGCTAACGGGTAGAAAACAGAGAGTAGGGATAAACGGGTCATTCTCGAATTGGCAGGATGTGACTAGTGGAGTGCCACAAGGATCAGTGCTTGGGCCTCTGCTATTTACAATTTACATCAATGATCTAGACGAGGACATTGAACATAACGTATCTAAATTCGTGGATGACACTAAACTAGGTGGGAGAGTAAGCTCTGAGGATGACGCAAAAAGATTGCAACGGGATATAGATAGGCTAGAGGAGTGGGCGAGTAGGTAGCAGATGGAATTTAATATGGGGAAGTGTGAAGTTATTCACCTAGGTAGAAAAAATAGAAAAACAGATTATTTTCTAGAGGGGGAGAGATTACATAGTATTAGTGTTCAGAGAGATTTGGGTGTCCTTTTACACCAGTCTCAAAAAGTTAGTTTGCAGATGCAGCAAGCAACTAAGAGGCGAATGGCATGTTAGCGTTCATTGCAAAAGGTTTAGAGTACAAGAGTAGGGAAATCTTGCTGCAACTGTACAGGCCCTTGGTGAGACCACACCTAGAGTATTGTGGGTTGTTTTGGTCTCCTAATTTATAAAAGGACATACTTGCCCTAGAGGGGATGCAGCGTAGATTCACTAGGTTAGTTCCTGAGATGAGGGGACTGACCTATGAGGATAGATTGAATAAACTAGGGCTATATTCTCTAGAGTACAGAAGAATTAGGGGAGATCTTAGTGAAACATATAAGATTCTTAAAGGGCTGGATAAAGTAGACACTGAGGGTCTGTTTCCCTTGGTAGGAGAATATATAACCAGGGGTCGCAGTCTTAACATTAAGGGTCAGCCTTTTAGAACAGAGTTGAGGAAAGATTTCTTCACTCAGAGGGTAGTGAATTTATGAAATTCACTATCCCAGAAGGCTGTAGATGCTCAGTCCTTGAACATCTTCAAGGCTGAGACTGATAGATTTTTTTAAAAATAGAGGGATTAGGGGATATGGGGACAGGGCAGGTAATTAGAGTTAGGTCTGAAGATCAGCCATGATCTTATCGAATGGCGGGGCAAGCCCGAGGGGTCGAATGGCCTACTCCTGCTCCTAATTCTTATGTTCTTATGTTGCTCAAGTATGTGGCAAAAATTGACATAACCCCTCTGTAGTTTCAGAAATGATTTGAGTGTTCATTTAATTAACCTTGGGCTTATGGATGTCTTTTGAAGGCTAGCATTTAATTTTCCTAGGCAACTAATACCATATTATTGTCTCCGTAGTAGGAAGACCTTCAGTGGTTTGATCTCATTCTCCTACAATATCAATCCCACCATTTTTTTAATTGTCGTGTCCTGGCCTCAACACCCCCCCACTCCCCTGCATGAAAATCATTTCAGCTGTTGATAACTGTGGGAAACTCCAGCCAAACAGAATACAGGAGATCTCTTTATAGCAAAGAGGAGGGTAAATAGGACTGGACGAAGAAAACAAAGACATCGGGAAAAAGTTAAAGCTAATAACTAGTGTCTGAAACAAGTTAAAATGCGTTATGAGGGAGAAGAAAATATAAGCTACTCAAGATAACATCTTTGTATATTTAAATCAAAGAAAATTGTAAAGAGAAAGAGAACTACAAGTTTACTATCGTGTATAACAGTAAGTGTATATGCTACATTACTCTAATTGTTGTATCTGGAATGACTTATGCACAGCTGGTAATATTTAAAATGCTACACAAGTCTAGAAACAAAATCCGTCCACAAATTCCATGGAGAAAAGATTTTCTAAAATTTAAATTATCTCCTTCAAGTCAAGAACATTAACAGATTATTTTTACTTACCTGTGCGGTGGTTGAGGGGGAAATTCTTTTTATATTGAACTTCCTTGAAGTGTAAAGGCACAACAGAATAAGGATGCATTGCTTATCTTTATTTTATATTGATCTGAATTAATGAGTCATAAAACAGAGTTAAGAATAAAATGAAATTCAATACCTGCAATAACTGATCACCAGACACAAGCCGTCCATCTTTTGCAATGACTCCATCTCGGTAAACTTCTTGAATTACAACATTAATCAAAGGAGTTTCATTTCCACCTACAACACTCAGACCTAATTCGGTACATGGACTGGGCCTATGGATTTCTATAGTAGTGATCTCTCCTTCGGGTACACTGGTTAGCTTTGGCAATGCTGCATTTAAAGAATAATAATAATAATTACACTTAAACTACTAACACAGATGTCCAATTATCAGTGCTTAAAACGAATTTATAACACTTTCTGAAAATGCAATGCATTAATGCATTGGAATGGATATAGTGGTGCAGTAAATGATACATTATAAAGTCATAAGATATAGATTAGTTTGTTTAAAAAGGAGATCTTGATCTCAGACTGGTCTTTTAAAGATGAGGTAAGCATATGCCATTAAAGGGGAATGCTGTTATAGAGCTCTTCGATACAGGGAGATTGAGGGCAAGGAAGCACAGGGAGGAGAGGATGTAGTTTGTGGCTTTAGTTAGGGTTGTCTCAATGCTGTGTGTGGCGAGGAAGCAAGATTAGAAGGACTTGTACAGGGAGTGATGAGAGCAACAATGTGTTCCAGCATCTTGGAGAGGAAGACAGGTTGAAATGGGGAAATAAAATGATTTTTGAGGGGCTACAATATAGTACTTTTTGACAAGGAGATAATGATGGCTTTTTTGAAAGGGAGCAGTACTATGGCAGTGTAAAGGGAAAGGTTGAGTATGTTGTCTAATAGGAGTTTGAGAAAATACAGCAAAATACTCTTAAAACACATTGGACTTCACAAGCAGTTGAATGTTTTCTTGAAAAAGATTTGGATGAAGAAGACAATGATCTCATTCTTCTACAATGCCAACACCAGAATCTTCCCATGCAGCATCAATCAGTTTTATCACATCCATTATGAATTTTGTTGGACAATTTAAATCACTTTTAGAATTAAAAGGATGACAAAGGAGACAGTGATGAAAAGATGAAATACTTGTGCTACATTCAAAGCACTGAAATGATTGCATATGAGATTTAATATTGTTCTCGGAATCTATCGTAAAAACAAGGTTTTTCTTCTGGAATGTGAAGTCATTTTATAATCAAAAGCTACTCTGGGAACAGGAAGCATACATTTTGGGGCTTAAACAGGAGCACAAAATGCTTTTGATACATGAAACACTTTGCTGAAAGCAAAAAAAAAAGTGTTCTGTGTAAATCCCTGAACTACCAAAATAATTGGTTCACACAGAGCTAGTTAAGTCCTTATGAGTTTCAATCTCTGAATTAGTTGACACTTAACTCTGCCAACTCCTGAAAAACATGACATTCAAACTGCAAAAATAAATTTACAGTACTCACACTTGGCTCATCTGCTGTTAAAGTTATATTTACTGCAATTTACATTTAGAATAATTTGTCATTATCAAGCACTGATAAAGCGTGATACTTTTAAATGTGAGAAACAGTGACTACAGCCACAATATGAAATAATTACCATGCAAATTTATTTATTTTTGTACTGTATGCATGATTCATTTAATCAGTAAGTATGAATTCACTGCACAATTTCCCCATAATTTAGCACTAAATTAGCAGCCTCACCCACAGAGGTCATAAGGATCACTGGTGTGGCAAATGGAAAATACAATCTAGCAGTAGGTGCTCTTCTTGAGTTGGGGGTTAATGATAGATTGCTATGCAAAGTAGAAGGAGCTTCATCCTGCATATAATTCATTCTATACTTGAACTAGGATTGTTACTGACACTGGGTGTAAAAAAATGGAAAAATATTCAAGTTCAAACCACTGACAACCCTCAACTTGATGAATATAAAATTCATCTAAAATGATATAAAAACTTTACTGTTAGTTTTAAATGTATTAAAACTGACCAGGAATCAACAGAATAAATACCTTTCTTTTCCTTAGCATTATCCATGCTGAGAATGTTTTTTAAATGATCTGATTTAAATGACTAATTGAGGTTATTGAACATCACAGGGCACACAGGTTTAGTTCAGTTTTGTAAAGCATCACAAAAAATCACACACAAATGCGAGTGAACAATGATTCACAAAGCCAATGGTCTTTACTGAGAGGATTCAGTCTTTCCCTAAACAATATTTGCAAAAGTTGTAAATTAGATCACCTTGGGAGGAACTGAAAGATGCCTGGCATGAGACCACTACCAATATCACTCAAATAGCCTCCTTGATCGTTGAACAGGCACAGCCTCGACCGTGTCTTTGAGCAGTACTGTCCATGCCTTTTGACCGAGAACATAAATGTAGGGGGAGAAAGTAAAATTTATCCAAATAATTCCAACACTTACATTTCAGGTGGCAGCAGCTTATTTGGTTGAATTGAAAGGTTTACTTTATGGTAGCATTTGTTTCTTTTCAAAAAAGGTGCAAATGGCCAGGTATGAAGGCGTGAAAGTTTTTTTTATAAGAAAGGAAATACTGTATTTGGGACGATCAATCAAATTTCCTCACCTTACCCCTCCTCCCCGAAAAGGTAGCAACAGATAAAATTGTGAATTTTTTAACATAGACGACGATGATTTGGTCCATCACGCCTCTATTTAGTTCCATTCCATAAATGGAATCCATTCCCCTGCACATAAATAACATGCTATAGTTCTTTTTACGAGCATATGTAGGTATCAGCATCTCTCTCCCAAATGACCACACGTGTGAGCATAGACAATGAGGGTAGATTATTGGGTTGTGGACAGCAAAACATTGCTGCCTGATCCTATCCCCGCCCAACACTCACAACTATCTCGTGCAGCTCGTGTACTCTCACGCACCAGGCTCTGCGACCCCATCACCCCCACCCTCGTTTGACTCCACTGGCTCCTCATCCCCCAGAGGATCGAATTCAAGATCCAGGTCCTCACTTTCAAGGCCATCCATGTCCTTGCCCCCTCCTACCTCTCTGACCTGCTGACTCCCTACCAACCTGCCGTTCCTCCGTTCAGCGGGCTCCGGTCTGCTCCATGTCTCCCGCCCGACCCGCCCTACCATCGGTGGCCGGGCTTTCAGCCTCTCTGCCCCCACACTCTGGAACTCCATCCCACAGTCCCTTGGCCTCGCTTCCTCCCTTGCCTCTTTCAAGGCCGGTCTCAAGACCCTTCTCCTCGATCATGCCTTCAGTCGCCCTCCCACCTCTCTGCCTGCCCTCACCCCTACACCATCCCTCCCCCATGCTTGGCCCCCGACACGTGACTGTTCAGTGCTTTGGGACGTCCTCCCGACGTGAAAGACGCTTTATAAATTGCCGATAATTACAACTATCTACTTTTTAGCAGGGCTCACTGGCCTGGATAGTTAATATATTAACAGGAGCAGGAAAGTTAATATTAACTTTTCTTCCCTAGGCCAGGAAAGGATTATATTGCCATAATCACTACTACGGATAAGATCTGCAAAATAAATGCAGGCCATGTTCCTTCCTGTTCTACATTGATTCAGTGAACACTACAGTTACCACTATAATTTGCATTTACAGGGTTTAAGAAAGTGTTCAACTACTTGTGAATGCCAATGTGTCTAAGAGGATATTAGGAGATGTGGAAGAATAGTCTAAATCTGTACCAAGAAACTATAGTTTATTTAAGGGAAGACAATTAATTTCCCCTATACTGCTCTTCTTTTTGAACGATTTATGCACTTTCTAGGATTCAGAAAACGGAATCTAATAAAAGGTTACACAGACATTTTCATCTCACCAAAGAAAATTTAAAATAATAACTTAAATATTTAAATTTATATGAAAGTTATGTTTAAAATGCAGACAACAATAAGGGGAATAAAGAGGACTACCTTCCTCCGAAGCTGGACTTTGTGGTTCATCTCTGAGATCTGAGCTTGCGGTGCTGTTAGTTCGGTGAAGATAGATGCAGGCGTTACTCAGTTGTCTTGTTGCACAGATTGGCTGAAAATCCACAGTCGAGACACCTGCAAACCAGAAAACATGATTTATTTAAACACTGTTTAGTAGTAATAAAAAAGAGAACACTTTCAGAGGGCCATTAATATCCCTTCCATTCCGAAATGAGGCTTTTGCCTGTATATTGTACAGTTGGGAGGATGGTACAGATCAGATCATAAGACAACTCTGCAGACAGTTGGGCAAACTCCTAGGTTACATTATCATTGGACCAGTACTTATTACTGAATTTACTGAAGCATCAAATTAAAAGAAAAGGCTTATAAAACTGCCAAGAAAAGCGGCAAATCTGAAGATTGGGAGAGTTTTAGAAACCAGCAAAATAAAACTAAAAAACTCATTAAGAGTGAGAAAAAGGAGTATGAGGGTAAGCTAGCTAGGAACATTAAGTCTGATTGTAAAGTTTTTACAAATATATTAAGAGGAATAGGCTCGTGAGGGTAAATGTAGGTCCACTACAGTCAGAGACGGGAGAAGTTGTAATGGGGGACAAGGACATGGCAGAGTCCCTAAATGGGTACTTTGCGTCTGTCTTCACCGTAGAAGACACAAGTCTGCCAACAATAGAGATGCACCAAGAGGATAAGGACAGGGAGTAACTTAGGGAAAGTTTCATTAGTAGAGAATTGGTGCTAGGGAAACTATTAACATTAAAAAGTGACAAATCCCCTGGTCCGGATGGTTTGCATCCCAGGGTTTTAAAAGAGGTAGCTTGTGAGATAGTGGAGGCCTTATGTCGAAAATTCCTTGGATTCTCGAACAGACCCCATGGATTGGAAGATCGCAAATGTCACACCACTATTTAAAAAAGGTGGAAAGGAAAAGATGGGGAACTATAGGCCAGTTAGTCTCACATCAGTGATAGGAAAAATTTTAGAATCATTGATTAAGGATGTGGTAGTGCGGTATTTAGGGGAGCACAATATAATTAGGCCAAGTCAACATGGCTTTACAAAAGGGAAGTTATGTTTGACAAATCTCAAAGAGTTTTTTGAGGACATTTCCAGTAAACTAGATAAGGGTGAATCAGTGGATGTGGTCTATTTGGACTTCCAGAAGGCATTCGATAAGGTGCCGCATAAAAGGTTAGTCCAAAAGATAAGGGCCCATGGAATTCGGGGGAGCATATTAACGTGGATTGGGGAATGGTTAATGGGTAGGAAACAAAGAGTAGGGATAAATGGGTCCTTTTCAGATTGGCGGGATGTGACTAGTGGAGTGCCACAAGGATCAGTCCTTGGGTATCAGCTATTTACCATCTACATCAAAGATCTGAATGAGGACATCGAAGCTAGTATATCTAAATTCGCGGATGACACAAAACAAGGAGGAAGTGCCAACACTGAGCACGACAATAAAAAAAATCAGCGAGACATAGATAGGTTAGGTGATTGGGCAGGTAGGTGGCAGATGAAGTATAATGTAGGGAAGTGCGAAGTCATCCACCTAGGTAGCAAAAACAGTAGAGCGGGTTATTTTTTAGAAGGGGAGAGATTAGAATGTGTTAGCGTCCAGAGGGACTTGGGTGTCCTTGTACACCAATCACAGAAAGTTAGTCTGCAGGTGCAGCAGCAATTAGGAAGGCGAACGGTATGTTAGCATTCATTATGAAAGGATTAGAGTATAAGAGTAGGGAAGACTTGCTGCAACTGTAAAGGGCCCTGGTGAGACCACACCTGGAATACTGCGTCCAGTATTTGCAGTATGGACGTACTTGCCTTGGAGGGGGTGCAGCGTAGATTTACTAGGTTAGTGCCAGGGATGAAGGGGATGAGTTACGAGGATAGACTGACCAATTTGGGCCTATATTCTCTAGAATATAGAAGAATTAGAGGGGATCTTATAGAAACCTATAAGATCATCAAAGGGCATGATAGAGTAGATAGTGGGAGATTGTTTCCCCTGGTTGGAGAAACTAAAACCAGGGGTCACAACCTTAAAATCAGAGGTCAGCCCTTTCGCACTGAGTTGAGGAAGAACTTCTTCACTCAAAGGGTGGTGAATGTATGGAACTCACTACCCCAAAGGGCTGTTGATGCTCAGTCCTTGAATACATTCAAGACTGAGATAGATAGATTTCTTATTGCAAAAGCGATTAAGGGATATGGGGATAAGGCAGGGTCCGGTTATTAGCTGGAGTTAGATTAGAAGATCAGCCATGATTGAATGGCGGGGCAGGCTCGAAGGGACGAACGGCCTACTCCTGCTCCTACATGTTCTGTTTTGTTACTGTAGTAGTATATCCTTCAGTGAACAAAACTGACAATTTACAGGTTATTATTTAATTTTACAACCAAATCTGCTGTGAGGCTATACTTATTCAAACCCACAATTTTAATACTTCTTACTCAAAATACCACTATCATTATCAAGATAATGGCAAGCTTCCAGAATTAACGGTAAAAAATATAGTTAAGGATGTGCAGAAATGTAGCAATTACTATTTCAAATCTGCACAGGATTGCCAAGATGAAGCACTCACCATTTTCAGTGACACCTTCACCTTCAGTGCCCTCATCGAAGGCAAGATTGTCCTGTCCATGTTCATCTGTACCAACTGATGCTGCTGAGGCAGAGCTATGTCTCCCTGTTGTCATCTCAGACACAGATGTCTGTAACTGGCCTGTATCTGGCAGTCCCCGACTTTCTTGATTTGCCACAGTTGACTTGCTATCATTACCACTCTCAGCTTGAAGTCTGCAATACCTACGTCTCTCTAAAGCAGCTCTGTGGTTTGAGGCTCCAGAACACCTAAAACAAGATATAATCTTCCATATTTTAAACAGTTTTGAAAGAAAGAAATGATAACATAGGAACATAGGAACATAAGAATTAGAAGCAGGAGTATGCCATTCAGCCCCTCAATCCTGCCCCGCCATTCAATAAGACCGTGGCTGATCTCTAACCTAACTCCATCTGTCCGCCTTATCCCCATATCCCTTAATCCCTCTACCCTTCAGAAATCTATCAATCTCAGTCTTGAATATGTTCAAAGACTGAGCATCTACAGCCTTCTGAATTCCATAAATTCACTACCCTCTGAGCGAAGAAGTGTTTCCTCAACTCTGTTCAAAAGGACTGTCCCTTAATCTTAAGACTGTGACCCCTAGTTCTAGATTCTCCGACCAGGGGAAACAGTCTCACAGTGTCTACTCTGTCAAGCCCCATAAGAATCTTCTATGTTTCTTCGACCATGCCATCGGTCACCCCCTTTCCCCTCCCCTCCCTTCTCCCTCCCTGACCCCAGCTCGGGTCTGAAATGCTGTACACTGTCCAGCGCCTTGGGACATCCTCCCGACGTGAAAGGCGCTATACAAGTGTAATCTTGGTGGTGTTGTTGTTGTAAGATCACCCCTAATTCTTCTATATTCTAGAGAATATAGGCCTAGTTTACTCAAGCTATCCTCATCGGTCAACCCCCTCATCCCAGGAACTAACCTAGTGAATCTACGCTGCACCCCCTCTATGTCCTTTCTTAAATAAGGAGACCAAAACTGTACACAATATTCTAGTGGGGTCTCACCAAGGCCCCATACAGTTGCAGCGAGACTTACCTACTCTTGCATTCTAACCCTTTTGCAATGAACGCCAACATGCCATTCGCCTTCCTAGTTGCTTGCTATACCTGCATACTAACGTTTTGTGACTGGTGTACAAGGATACCCAAATCCCTCTGAACACTAACACTATCTAGTCTCTCCCCTTCTAGAAAATAATCTGCTTTTCTGTTTTTACTACCTAGGTGAATACTTCACATTTCCCCACATTATATTCCATCTGCCACTTTCTTGCCCACTCACCTAGCCTATCTATAACCCTTTGCAATCTTTTTGTGTCATCCTCAGAGCATACTCTCCCACCTAGCTTAGTATCATCCGCGAATTTAGATATTCTAAATTCTTTGTTCTCGCCTAGATCATTGATATAGCACTGATCCTTGTGGCACTCCACTAGTCACATCCCGCCAATCTGAGAAGGTCCCGTTTATCCCTACTCTCTGTTTTCTTCCTGTAGCCACTCTTCAATCCATGCTAATATATTGCCTTTAATTCCATGGGGCCTAATCTTGTGTAGCAGCCTTTTGTGTGGCACCTAGTCGAATGCCTTCTGAAAATCTAAATATACTATCAACCTGCTAGTTACATCCTCAAAAAACTCTGAAAGATTTGTTAAGCATGACTTCCCTTTCGTAAAGCCAGTCCCCGCACTGTCACGTCTTGCATCCCCCAGGGCACTGTCCTTGGCCCTCTCCTCTTTAACATCTACATGCTCCCCCTTGGTGACATCATCCACAGACATGGGGTAAATTTCCACATGTATATGGATGATACCCAACTCCTCTCTCTGCCTCCACCCTCAACTCCAGGATTACCGGCGTCCTGACCGACTGCCTGTCCGACATCAAGTCCTGGATGAGGGACAACTTTCTCCAACTTAACATCACCAACACTGAGGCGCTCCTGATTGGCTCATGCCAGCGCCTCCGCACCTCGGGCCTGGCAGCATCAGCCTCCACGGCTGCACACTCAACCTCACAAAGCCAGTCAGGCACCTGGGTATCTTGTTTGACCCTGAACTGTCCTTTCTCCCTCACATCTGTGCCATGACCGGCACTGACTACCACCACCTCCGCAACATTACCAGAATCCGCCACTGCCTCACCCCTCAGGCTGCCGAAACCCTCACCCACGCATTCATCACATCAAGGCTCGATTATGGAAATTCCCTCCTCATCGGTCTTCCCAACTCTTCCCTTCACAAGATGCAGATCATCCAAAACTCTGCAGCTTGTGTACTCTCATGCACCAGGCTCCATGACCCCATCACTCCCACCCTCGCCCGACTCCACTGACTCCCCATCACCCAGAGGATCAAATTCAAGATCCTCATCCTCACTTTCAAGACCATCCATGGTCTTGCCCCTTCTTACCTCTCTGACCTGCTGACTTCCTACTAACTTGCCCGCTGACTCTGTTCATCAGGCTCTGGCCTGCTCCATGTCTCCCGTCCGACCATCGGCAGCCGAGCTTTCAGCTTCTCTGCCCCCACACTCTGGAACTCCAACCCACAGTCCCTTTGCCTTGCTTCCTCCCTTGCCTCCTTGAAGGCCGATCTCAAGACCATCCTCTTCGATCGTGCCTTTGGTCGCGCTCTCACCTCCCTGGCTTCCCTCACCCCTACCCCACCCCTCCCCCCTGCTCGGGTCCTGACCCCTGACTGTCCAGCACCTTGGGACGTCCTCCCGACGTGAAAGGTGCTCTGTAAATGTAATTTTGTTGTTGTTGTTCGAGATATCTAAAGCACTTCACAAAATATACTGTAAATATACTGTTCATTAATTATTTATGGTGCAAAATTGCTGCCATGTATTCCTCCAAAAAAAAGCAGTTTGAGATGTTGTGATAAGGAGTTATAACAAAGAATTCTTTCTATAGCACTGGTTGAAATGGATTTTATTTTGTTGACATTTATTTTTGGTTTGTGCTGGGGACAACATTGAAAGCAATAATTTAGAGGTAAAAAATAAAAAGTGACAAGAGTCTTAAAATTGGAAACTGTTTGATTGCCCAATTTAGTCATCCTCTCCTTAATTCAATACAGCAAAATTGCTACATAGGGTTGACAATAGCTAGCAGAAGATTTTCATATGCATTTTTGAAATAATTATATACCATTTTCTCCACGTGAGCCAGCTAATCTTAACCATTGCTCCCATACTCTTTAATATTCATAGCTTTTTGTGGAACAGTGCCTTGTGCAAATGCAGTCACTACACTTTACAGTTGATCCTGTGAAACGCTTTAAGATAGCCTTCTGATGCCTTTCAAAATAATTAATGATCCCAGCCTGTCAAACAATGGTTTGTAACAAAGAATTCCAACCGCCCTATGCATGAAGCAATGTTTTCTAACCCCATCTTTCATTATTTGGGATTATTTTACAGTTATGTCCTCTTGTTACCGACTCACTAACCAGACGAAATCTGTTTTTATACAACTTATCATGAAGACCAATATCAGATGACCCTCTAACCTTCTAACTGTAGCAGAAAATAAGTAACTTCTCAAGAACCTCTTCAAAATTGCAATCCCTCGTCATAAAATCAGAATTTGTAGCAATCAGTGTATAATAGATACGGTGCTCAAGATTCAGAGACTTCGTGATCTCTTGTTCCTTTCTGTTTTACTCAATCTATTTAGCTACAAAACCAACAGATTGCTTTCACCAACCAAAAATTAAGCAATACATCATTATATACATTACTGTAAGTACTGTTAAAAACTGTAAAGGTCCAGTTTCACTTTATTTTGCATAGTTTTCATGCAAATCAATTTTCCAGTAAAGGCGATGCTTTTCCAATGTAAAAACATTTCCATGCTAATACTCTACAGTGCTGGTAATATTTTTATGCTTGGAAAAATTGAGGCAATCTCCACACAAGTGTTTCTGCGATTTACAATTATGTTGATTCGTTACTCAAGTACAAAATAATCTATGATTTGCTATTCTGCTGCAGAGCACATCTGACTCACCATATACTCAGTCCCAGAAATAACATTTCCAGATACAGTGAGAGAGACTCAAGTAATTTAAGAAAATCAAGTACACATCTGTTTCGAAATAAAATTGATATGTCAACTGAAATTTCAACTCGTTTGACAAAACTTTTATGTATCACCCTTCAAGTGGATAGCGTCTTCAAGTTGTTGGTATCCTAGCTGAGCAGACAGTGTGAAGCTCACCAGGGTTTGGAAAGGCAAGTTATGTGTTTTAGCTTCTTAACCTACAACAGTAAACACTGTGGGTCATCAGGCCTTGGCTCTTGCCAACCTGGGCAGTTATTATTCCACATTAAGGCGGCGTTTAGGAATTTTCCAAAATTCTGCACAATATAAATGTCAAGATAAGTCTTAACATTTAAGATTGTGCAGAATTAAGGCTAAGTCCATGAGGATTTTGGATCTCAGGAGATCCTAATTTTTTTCCAGTCTCAGACACATGTTTAGCTACTGAAATTATTTAGCAGCCCAAGGGGATGATTCGATGAGATACAAATACTGTATAGAGAGGAGTAAAAATTCAAAGCAGGATTAATATTCATCTTACTTGAATATCTAATTTTGAGATTCAAATTAAATATCTTCGCAGGTTTTGCTTTGAAACAAATGTGAACCAAGGGTTCTCCTGTGCTCTCAAATAGCTAGCATTTATTTCACTTATTTAATTCTCCTTTAATTAAATGGAAAGCAAGTATAGCAGTCGGTGTAATCTTAAAGTGAATCAACTTAAAAACAAAACTATAATCTTCACACGAATGTCGACGAATGCACTTTACTAAGGACATAAACAAAAATGCTCTTTTTTTTCAACAAAAAAGTCAATAATACTTTTAAAAACATTACATATCTGTTTATAGCTTTCCATTTATTGAAAATGTTTTTTTTAAGCATTGACAAATGAAAACACTAATGTATCTGGGAGTTGCAAATACAGTACATGGATTTAGAAACAGGATTACATGCGGAAACATAAAAAGGCAAATTAAATATTTGCATTTATATTGCATATTGAAATGTAAATGTAAGTGGACGAAGAAGAGTTGTTGAAACTAATGAAATAGCTGCTGAAACTCTCATTCATGCTTTCACCACCTCCTGCCTCAATTTTTCAATGCACTCCTCACCAGTCTCCCCAGCTCAATGTTAACAAGGTCCAAATGATGTTTAGCAAGATCCAGATGATCTTTCACC